TGTGTGGCTATTGAGTGATCAGTTCTATATGAAACATCTATATCAAACCACTCAGGCTTAGAAAACACTGTGGAAGAAAGAGCAGAAAGAATTTGGGATACAAAGAATAAGCAGAAATATTGTAAAAGTTTGCCTTCTAAACATAAAATGAAATCATGGTAGTTATGGTTACCTGCACAGAACTTGTACAAAATGGAGGCATCAACACTTAGTTACCAATGCAGTGCTGGGTCTCATGAGGCCCTATGTCTCATTGAGGATTGGCAGTTCAGGAGAAGGGAATTCATTTTCCTTAGCAGTGTAGACACTGGTTAATTGCTCGTTTCCTGGTGAATATGCCTCACCTGGGTTAATGCAAGCAGCCCTAATTAAAATCATTATTGGTATGGCTATTCTTGGTTGTCACCCTGATGGCATCTAGAGTTAACTAAAACCCAAGCTTCTGGGGACACCTGTAAGGGAGTTTTCTTGATTGGATCGTTTATGATGGAAAGACCTACTCTAAGTCTGGGCCACTTCTGGTGTCCGCCTATATGAAGGACATGGAAGAAGGAAACTCTTTCTTTTTGCCTGCATGCCCTCACTCTAACTGGATAGTTCATTTCTTCCCTGGTATTAGAGTCTACTTCCTTCAGATTCCATCATATACTGAAGACCAGTTAAGACCAGTTAAGTCTGGCCTGGTGGACTGAACAACTATTGGATTTGAACTTTTCATCAAGACACAACCATTGTTGGAATAGTTGGGACACAGGCTGTAAGTCACTCTAATAAGTTATATATGGATATTATAGATACATACAACTAAGAGATAGATGATAGATATAGATATATTCCATAAATTCTGTTTCTTTAGAGAACTCCGAGTAATACAGTATGTCATTAAGAAAAGAAAACACAAAATTAGCAAGTCAATATGTTGAAAGGGAGAAGGGGTTCATCAAGACTGGTGAGGGTAAGCCAGGCATGGTGGCACATGCCTTTGATCCCAGCACTCAGGGAGGCAGACGCATCTCTGTGAGTTCAAGGCCAAATTGGTCATCTCTTAATGTTAATGATTTGCATGTTCACTAGTAAGCATATCTTTAACCAAGCATATGTGTGTATATATATATGTATATATATATATGTATATGTATATATATGTATATATAAAATCTCATATAAGCATTATTATATGGAGATAATGAACTAGAATGTAGAAAAGGAATGTTCAAGTACAAAACCAGGTTGCAATAATCCATCATTTAAAATAGATATTTTACGTACTAATATTATTTTCTTCTTACTAATGATGTAAATGCCCTACATGTTTGGGTTCTAATTTAGCCTCATTTTATGCTACCCTCTGTTGATGAGCATAGCTACACAGTGCCTCCCAAGCATTCAAATACAAAAGAAACATTCCAGACATACTAAAGAAATGATTTTCATATTTACTTTTCAACCCCCTTTACATCCTCACAAAGATCTGTTCTCACCTGGTATGTGTCAATACCAGGCTTTGTCAGTGTTGGCTATTTCATATAAGACTGCCAAGTTCACAGTTAGAATGAGCTGCGTGGTGAACATACCTAATGGTCTAGATATCAAATCATATTTAAAATAAGCCCAACTCAGCCTATTTATTAATGGATCTGATTGAACTATCATTTTAAATTCTGCTCTATGCATCAACCAACTTTTGCCCAGGAATAGGATAAGTAACATTCAGGTCTTTCCTGGTGATTCAGCTCTCAGTATCATCCTACACTCATAATTTATAGAATTCTGTGAGAGTTAAATTAGTTAAAATTATAATGAAGTTTATGGCTGTGTCCATCTGTAAATTGTCAGTATCTTGTGCTATGAGCCTGGCTGTTCTGTGGAGACTTCCTTGTTATCAATGTTATGAACTGCTGAACAAGACTCAGAACTGTTAGATACAGGAACAAAGAAAATGCTTCAGAGTTAATCGAGATCTTAGTTATTACATTAGCTTGCTTTATTTATACATCTTGGCTACAATCACTGTAAACTTAAAGTATAATATCATCTATATTGTACACTTTGGAATGAATGTAGACCACTTAGACAACTAGCTTAACTAACAGAAAAAACCTACAGGATTGTAAGTGAAAGAGTCCTAGGTTCTCCAATCCATTTGGCTGTGTTATGGCTATGATTTTTTTACACCCAGCTCCAAAGATGCCTGTGTAAAAAGTTCACATGGTGCTACTTATTTCTAGAGATTGGCAATAATTAGAAAAGTGTCTAATGCCCAGATGACATTAGAAAAATGCTTTCTTTTCTCAGAAATGTGAAATTTGAATAGTAGAGCATGAATGAAAGCATTAGAAACAGAAGTGAGCTTTCCATTCTACATAAGCTCAGTGTCCAAGTGGGTTGCTTAGAAAGGGGAACATGTCTCTGACATGAACTCAGTGGCTGGCTCTTTCATCACCTCCCCCTGATGGGGGAGCAACCTTGCCAGGCCACAGAGGAGGACAATGCAGCCATGCCTGATGAGGCCTGATAGGCTAGAGTCAAATGGAAGGGGAGGAGGACCTCCCCTATCAGTGGACTTAGAGAGGGGCATGGGAAGATATGGAGGGAGGATGAGATTGGGAGGGAATGAGAAAGGGGGCTAAAGATGGGATACAAGGTGAATAAACTGTAATTAATATAAAAAAATAAAAATTAAAAAAGAAGTGATTTGAAGGAGCTTTGCAAGCTGATAGGGGAGATAAGCAATCAATGGTCCTACCCAGCTACAAATCCTATGAACCATAACAATGACTAATGTGACAAGATGCCCCCCCAGGGTACAATAGTGACACTTACATCTTGGGAGTAACCAACAGCTTATTGAACTTAAAGCCTACTGAATAAGAGATACCTAACTGGTATTGTAAACCCAGTATGGTCAGAGAATTGATGGCCTCCCCCAAAATCCTGCCACTTTCTTAAACCATTATAACTTCTAGCTGTATCCTAAATACTTACTAATACCCAATAAGCATAATACCCAATGTAGCTTTCACCATAATCAAAGAATGTTTCCTTTTTCAACACACACAGAACATTACATAAAGCCACTATTGATCAAAATACAGAGATAACTGATCATAAGGTATCCAACCCTACTTAATACATCTACAATAGAGTCCCTACATCTAAGGGTCAAGAAACATTTTTGAAGAAGGGGTAGAAAGATTGGAAGAGCCTGAGAACAACAATGTCTGCTGTAAGATAATGTCTTCCCTAAATGACAAGGAAGTTTTATTCACAAAATCTTGACAATATGGTCACCTAAACAAGACCTGCACAATGACAACATCAGATGACATGCCAATATGGGTGAGGGAAATATCACAAGGCCACACTCTTAAAGAGCAGCAGGCAATAATAACTAATGAGAGAGAGAGAGAGAGAGAGAGAGAGAGAGAGAGAAAGTTAATTTTCCCCAGGGATGAAACCTCTGATTATTCAATCCCAAGTAGTCAGCCCTAAACACATTCACATGTAAGCAATAATAATTGGACATAGGAATGTATATAATATTCTTTAATATATACATATATGTATATATGTTTAAAGTTCACTAATTTAAGAATGAGTTGGGGAATACAAGAGAAATTAGAGGAAGGAAAAGATAGGGTGGGAATGTTGTAAGTATAGTACTCATATCATTGTAAATAAAACAGGATCATGGTACTCAAAATACATTAATTTCAGATCTATGCTTCCAAAACTGGAGTCTTGCTTCACTGGTTGAAACTGTGCATAGGTTCATAGGTTCTTCCACCTAAAAACAGCTTCTACTTATTTCTCTGCCCTGATCTATGCTGGTCTTATAATTTTCTTTATCCAGCAGAGGCATTAAAAGCATGCTATGTAAGTGTCAAGGCTGGGAACCAAGAGGTTTAGAACAATGACCAAAATACATGTGTCTCAAAAGAAGATACCCAAATGACTAACAAGTATTTGAAAAATAAACCAGCCTAATATTACTAAGTATATAATCACTACAATGGCAAGGAAATCTCATCTATCCTTAATAATAAAAACTATTATTAAAATAGCAAATAAATGTTGACAAAACCTTGCACAAAGGGGACTCTCATGTATGCTGACAGTATTAACAAATATTACAATTATGGAAAGCTGTATAGAGATTTCTTTTTAAAACCTAGAAATAAAATGGCAGAATGATCTAGCAAACCTACTATGAGTATATATACAAGGGAAAAATCTTAAGTATGTTGCTGGTAGTGGTAGACTCATTGCTTCCAATTAATCTAGATGCCCATCAAGAAATGAATGAATAAAGATAATTTACATACATATACACAGCATAATATATGTTACCTGTGCATATTTGTGTTTGTGTGCATGAATATAATATGCATGTTTTCAGCCATAGACATAGATGAGCTGGGAAGATATTATATTGGATTAAAATTAATCACATAAAGAGAAATATCACATTTGTTTTATGAAAGTGAAAATGCTGATTGTATGAAAATAGAGAGCAGCAATATCTCAGTAATGGCTACTATTGATACAATAAAACACCATTTCCAAAAGCAAATTGGAGAAGAAAGGGTTTATTTATCTCACTCATCCACATCATGATTCATCATAAAAGGAAGCCAGGGCAGGAACTCAGACATGACAGGAACCAGGACACAGGAACTGATGCAGAGAATATGTGTATAAATCTTACTTACCAAACCCCACTTCCTTCAACATACAATGAAAATGCCATCAGAGAGGAAGGAATGTAGAGGAAAATATGCAAAAAATGAACTAAATTAGCTCTGGGTCAATGCATTATTTACTCTCAGATGAACTAATAGTCTCAGTTTTCCATTGAGCAGGAAAACATTGAAAATTCTCCATTAATCCCAAATGTCTTATCACATGACCACAATACAACACAGCATACACACACACACACACACACACACACACACACACACACACACACACACACACACATTGTGAATTATACTCACCCTCTCTGAAAGAGATCCACATTATAAAATTTGTGTAGCTCTACAGAAAACTCAACTGTTCCTTGTACTTCAGACATGATCTTTTTGGTTCATTACCTGAAAAACAAAGAAAGAAGTTAATTGCTTAAGATGACTTCAGCCCAACATATATAGCCTGATTTCAATAGCCAGAAACTTAGCAATGCCTAGATAGGCAAAAACATGTGTCCTACATGACAAATTAAGCACCATGTGTATGCTTCATGGTGTATTCAAAGGTTCTTATAGCGGGGAGAAAAACAAAGAAAAATACACAGTGTCTTACTTAAGATCTTGTGCTTAGCATCTGTGATAGCTGGAACTAAGTCCTGGTCCATGGTCCCTTCATCTGTTTATTACAAGGATGACACATATACCCAGTTACTATCAGGAATTCATCAGCTTTCTGACAGGAGATGTTAGGTACGTCATTTAATTCCCCTGTTTTTTGTGCTGTGTTCATCTGTGGGTGTGGACTAGTAACTGCATTTGGTTTGAACAAATTATGACAGGATTAAGTGAACATGCCCCACTGATCATTTTGTACACACTGGCATTTAGCAAATTTTCAATAAATGCTAGCCAGCACTGATGATAATGCTTAATAATCACAGAATGTCACTCTATCATCAATATTGAAGATGCAGGTGACTGAAATGGCAGCAGAACACATGGGTGCTGTGACAGGCAGATGCTAACCCAATTTGACAGATTGATGCAAAAGCTGATAAGAAGGTTGGACAAGACACATGGAAAGAAATAGAATTACAATCTGATATTGCAAACAAATCAAAAAGAGGACCCTAGGCAAACTGAATCTTTTGAGGGTATGAAATCAACTCTATATGAGGTATTTGAAAGAAGGAAAAATTAAATCGATAAAACACCTGCTATATTCACAGTGCTGTATGCCATATTATATAAACAACCTGGCTTTTGACAACAATGATTTTGTGACAGAAAAATTTCATCTTAATTTTTTTTTCAGAGAAACAAAAAGGGATAAAGGAATTCTTACTTGCAACCTAGAATAAGACATTGCATTCTTTCAAAAGTCTCCTCATCTTCCCAAGGACCGGTTTACTAGTGTGTGTCACAGACACAATGTAAGCGACTCAGTAAGATTCTGGGTAATATAGAAGGTAATTATTGCAATGTGCCTGAGGTCCAGCTGTTCTTGAGAATGGTATGATCTTTTGAGAGAGGGATATTCAGAGCAGGAGAGATAAAACTAGAGGGCACATAGGCTTTCATGGCTGGCAAAGGTGGTGGACATGTTCCCCGACTCTCTGGTTCAGAGCCCAACTATCCAGGGTCACACTAGGCCTGCTCCCAAGAACAGCACTACACCACACAGGAGTGTGTGAGTTTTCATGCTGTGTTTCAGTACTGGCAAAGGCTCCCTCCCAACAAATATTTCTAAGAATAAGGAAGGCTGCTTATCAAATGAGAATGCTGCACCTCATTTTCACCAATCTATATAAAGGCTGAGAGTCAGAATTCTCACACAAAAGAAAAAAAAAAAAAAACACCTCCTAGACTACACATTGTGCTGAACACAATAGAACCAGCTGGAGCCAGAACCTGCCTCCTTAACACCAATCTCAAGATGTGTTTAGGAAGGGTCAAATATCTCTCCCTGTGAAATACCTTCATTTATCACACTGAATGCTCCCCAATGTTCACACCACATGCTCCCCAAGTTCTTATCATCCCAGAGTCTCAATGATCACAAATCTGCAGCACTGGTTCAGCCATCTAACTCTTTGATTGTGGGTGTCAGCTTTTAATTACCCTGGAGTCTTCTGATCTATTATCCCTGGGACCAGAATGTACAGAAAGAGAGAGACAGAGACAGAAAGACACAGAGAGACAGAGACACACAGAGAGACAAAGACAGGGAGACACACACAGAAACAGAGAGAGGAAAGGAGGAAAAGTGGGGAAAAAAGGAAGAGAAGGGAGAAGGAAGATGGAGAAGGAGAGACAATGCCAGTATTGATTGGCACATGCTAAATTTTACACATTCTAACTCACACAAGGCACTGTTACCATTCTGGGAACAGAGGTGACCCAGAATCCCAAAGACCTTACTTTTCCAGCTCCAGTACTTATATGCAGGTTTTCTGGAGCAAGAAAGCACTATAAAATAAATACTTTGAAGAAAAAAAAATGTTTACTAGATGTAGAATATGACGCTATCATTCTCTCTGTGGAAAGTTTACCACCTGACGATCTAGAAACCTTAATAAAGTCAGTTCTGGAATTTGTAAACACAAACACAGGAGCCTTTTTCTTTAATACCACATGATTAGTTATAACCATCATGTGCCACTAAATGAAGAAGCTAAGCTCAAATTTTACAATATCCACTTTGGTTTTTCAGGGGACTAATTGCACAATATGAAATTTATGCTCAATAATTCAAAACCATCTACCTTGATCCCAATCTTCTACCCAAATCTTTCCATTTGAAAATGTGTTAATTAAAATTAATGAGGATCTTAGATTGGTGGCTTTCCAGTATGGTCCTCAGACTAGCAGTTTCAGTGATGGAAGCAACAACTTTGAGTCTTAACCAGATCTATTGAGTAAGGCTTCACTCAAAGGTTATTCCACCTCCCTGGAATTCTGATGTACACACTCATTTGAGAAGTACTGCCTCAGACACTATGCTTGGAGCTAACTAGACTAAGTTGACCCAACGAGTCACATAATCTTGGATCATGGTTAAACTTCCTGTTCCCTGATTTCCACATGGCTTTACATTTACCCCGTAAGGCATCCTTAGTGGTGGCAGGGATAAAAGATGTTAAAAATTTTAATACGTTATTGTGTATACTGTAAAATATACACATGAAATACACATAGAAGTTACAAGGGACATGCCCAGCACAACCCACTTCACCTACACCCAATACTCAATAATCACACAAATACACACAATATACACAAACATTACATACATACCTACATGTGAAACAATCCATGACACTTATAAGATGTCCACAACAAGTAGCACACACTAACAACCACAAAGCCCCTCAAATTCAACATGCACATAAAAGACACCCATAGCAAAGCACCCTAATCACCTTGAATGCCTAGAAAATACACACACATACCCACTCACAACACACACATACTCACACATACAACACACACTTGAACACAACATACAGTCTCTGTGCTGCCTGCTGCAACCAACGCCACCCATAATTCATAGCTTGCAAACATCCTCTTGTATTTGTTTCTTAGATGTTCATCTCTAAGACCACATTTCCTAGAAGCTACCTCCTCAAGTACTAAGATTACAGAGCTTAAAGGAAAACTATTCCTCCCAAATCCTCAGAATGAACAAGGGTGATTTAGTGACCATTACCTCTGGGAGCTCCATGAGAAAAGTGGTGTATTCACATAAGACTCAGAATTTCTTGAAGGGAATAACATTTGACTGAGAAGGCCTTTGCTGAGCTTTTGTCTGGAGTAATAAATGTCAATCTTTCTTAAAAGAAAGATTTGTCATCTGAGTTCACTTGGAGTCAGCCCACTTGTCCTTGAAACACAAGTTCACTGCATGTAAGACTTTCTGCATAACCTGCTTCACTTACTAGCTGGTCCTGGCTAGGGTGACCACAGAAAGCCTACATGTGATCAGTTTGGCTTTACACAAGAGGGTGATGGAATAGTGAAGGGCCTGAAGGTATAACATGAGGTAACAGAAAGATTTCATTGTTCAGGAGAAGAGCAGAAGATCTGATCTCTCCAATACAGTTTTTTTACTCAACATTGGTCCTAGTCCCTCCCACTATAAATTTAAATATAAAAAACACACTAATGGGTCAAACATCCAGATTTCCTCAACACCAGAAAGGCCTAGTAACATTCATAATAGTTTGCAGCCAGTGAATCTGCTTTTAATGTCAACTGGGACAAGAAAACACCATGGAGCTAAGAGAGGAGCTAGAGTCCAGATGACAGCATTGATTTCCTATTAGTACAACCAAAGAAAGACAAGAAAGTGACTGACTGTGGGAAAGAGTAATAAGCCCTTCTGTTGAGGGTTGGTCTGGTGCTGTATATTCACATGTTAAATTCTGGACCCCAAGATCTGGTTGCAGTCCAGTGAGTGCATTCTCACGTGCACCAAACAATATTGTGTAAACTTTGCTCCCAATTATCTCTGATTAGTTAATTAAGAAAAGATGGACAGCCTGTAACTGGATGGAAGAGAGGTAGGTGGGTCTTCAGGCTTGGGACCTCAGGTAGTGACCATGAGGCCAGAGAGAGGAAGATGGAAAGAAAGGACATAGCCTGAGGGAGCAGGTCCAGCCTTGACAGGACAAATATTGGCAAGTAACTTGGGGCATGTAGCCAGGAAGTAGACAGAGTAGCTTAGGAAATTACTATAAATTGAACCTGCCCAGTTATTATTGTTAAAGACTGTTAAGTAAATCAATAGGTCTCTACTTCAATCGTTTGGGAGCTAGCCAGGTGAGAAAAGCCCTCTAGAACTAATAAATTTTCTGCAATAACTTTCTCTTTGCAAATGCAAGTTCCTTCCTTTAGAGTTATGTAGAAAGCCTAGACTTGTGCATTATTATGTAAAAGGTGGCCAGTCTGGGAAGTATCCAGGGGTCTTTGTGCTTGAAAAGTCATGTGAGTGTGCATAGGTGTGCAGAGTGTGTGCATGAGTGTGCATATACATATCTGTATGTGTCTTAGGTTTGTTAATAAATAACCCAGGAAGTACATGCCTATTTTACCATTTGATTCAGCTTTTAAGCCTTAGTCTTCTTATTTTTTCATCTATTTATTTATTAGTGTATTCACTTTGTATCCCAGCTGTAGCCCCCTCCCACAAAGCCTCCTACTCCCATCCTCCCTTCCTCTTCTTCTATGCCCCTCTCCCAGACCAGTAATAAGGGAAGTCCTCCTCCCCTTCCATCTGACCCTAGACCATTAGGTTTCATCAGGACTGGCTGCATTGTCTTCCTCTGTGGCCTGGTAAGGCTGCTCCCCCCTCAGGGGGAGATGATCAAAGAGCTAGCCACTGAGT